TTATTTCTAACTTCTATTTAATTTATTTCTAACTTCTATTTGGTTTATTTCTAACTTCTATTTAATTTATTTCTAACTTCTATTTGATTTATTTCTAACTTCTATTTAATTTATTTCTAACTTCTATTTGGTTTATTTCTAACTTCTATTTGATTTATTTCTAACTTCTATTTGATTTATTTCTAACTTCTATTTGGTTTATTTCTAACTTCTATTTGCTTTATTTCTAACTTCTATTAAATTTATTTCTAACTTCTATTTAATTTATTTCTAACTTCTATTTAATTTATTTCTAACTTCTATTTAATTTATTTCTAACTTCTATTTAATTTATTTCTAACTTCTATTAAATTTATTTCTAACTTCTATTTGCTTTATTTCTATCTTCTATTTAATTTATTTCTAACTTCTATTTAATTTATTTCTAACTTCTATTAAATTTATTTCTAACTTCTATTTGATTTATTTCTAACTTCTAATTGATTTATTTCTAACTTCTATTTGATTTATTTCTAACTTCTATTTAATTTATTTCTAACTTCTATTTGATTTATTTCTAACTTCTATTTAATTTATTTCTAACTTCTATTTGATTTATTTCTAACTTCTATTTGATTTATTTCTAACTTCTATTTGCTTTATTTCTAACTTCTATTTAATTTATTTCAGGGAGCTCAATGTCAGGAATGTAAAGAACATTTTGTAGGAAATCCACGAGACGGAGGAGAATGTATACCATGTTTAATGTTCTGTTATAATCATTCATCTAAATGTTTAACTCATAAAGAATTTATAGCCTCACAGATTGAAATGGGAGATCTCGCTCAGATTAGTCATGTGAAATATTATGAGAAGGTAAGTCTGGTGTTTTTACGGGGCAATGGGTAAGTCTGGTGTTTTTACGGGGCAATGGGTAGGTCTGGTGTTTTTATGGAACAATGGGTAGGTCTGGTGTTTTTACGGGGCAATGGGTAGGTCTGGTGTTTTTACGGGGCAATGGGTAGGTCTGGTGTTGTCAGGGGGCAATGGGTAAGTCTGGTGTTTTTACGGGGCAATGGGTAGGTTAGGGGGCGAGGTTTGGTGTAGGGGATCACAAACAATGCTGACCCCACATCCTTGCCCCTAACTATTGAAATGAGCATGTCTGATGTTTGATGTGTGTAAGGTTTGGGGTTTCATATATTGCTAGTCCTACCCAGGATAGGTTGTTAGGTATTAGGGGGTGAGAACTGACACCAGGACTCTTGGAAGCACTATAGGATGGTTGAAAGGTAAGAAGTTGCTATACAAGGGTTAAAGCTGTGTTCCTCTATTTTATAGAGACCTGGTAGAGGACCAATGGAAAGTGATGCTAAATGTGTCAAGTGTAAACATAATACAACTGGTACAAAATGTGAAAAATGTCTGGATGGTTATTTTAGACTACAAGATCGACCCAAAACAGAGGGTTGTATCAAGTAAGAAACTTTGTTTGTAGAAGTTGATTAAATTTGACCTATTACAATACAAGATCTTTGATTTCAACTCCATTTGTTTAACGTAGTGCGCCTTTTTTTTTACAAGAATTACCTTGTGTATATGATATACTTTCAAACAGTGATTCAAATTTTCAATCAGATGATATATGACCTCACTATTTGCTGAGCTGTTATTAAGATATAAACACTTAGAATGATGTAAATTGATGCTATCAGTGTCCCTGATACACATAACAAAACCTCTTTACAATCTGTTTTAAGTTGAATTTGTAATTGTACAGTTATACTGGAATTGCAGTGTCCAAGATAGAATATTAAAAAAACCTTTTTAACTTGAATTTGTAATTTTACAGGTGTCAATGTAATGGACATAGTAATATGTGTAATGAACATACTGGTGAAAACTGTCAATGTCATAATAATACAGAGAGTAAATGTGACAGTAAAGATGATAGTATACCTTGTTGGAGATTACAGGTACGTATAACTTGATAGTAATATCTACTTAACAATGTTTTCTAACAGAAGTATCTTGTGAGTTTTTATAAAAAACATTGTTTTAGTTCCCATAGATTGAAGTTGAGGGAATATAGAAGTAAAGTAAGAGTGAATGGTTAACAGAAAGGTTATTTTACAGTAGGGAGAGGGTTAACTCCAGAAAGGTTATTTTACAGTAGGGAGAGAGTTAACTCCTATATAATTGATAAGAGCCCAACTCGTACTGCCATATTTTAATGATTTACAAAGCGTATGTAATATATCTATGTAATATTTCAGTGTTCCCATTGTAAAGAGTATTTTATTGGTACACCAACAGAAGGTCATCAATGTTATCGTCAACTGACTATTGATAGAGAATACTGTTTTGACCCTGAAACACAGAAGAATTGTAATCAGTATCCCCATCCTTTACATCAAGGTCGTACTGTGTTTTTTGAAGTTCCACCTAAATATTTAAACGTTGATATACGAGTAACTATTGATGTTACAATGGGAGGTAATCATACTTTTATTTTTCTTAATTTAACAAGTTTTTTATTTTGAATTGATGTTTAGAACACCACGGTCTGTGTTAAACTATCTTCATGATGTCAACCTGTAATATTCAATATCTCAGTTTATTGTTTGATATCAACATCCTGTTACTTCTTAGTTCCTTAAAATCTCCATCACTAATAACAGAATAATAGTCAGAAAACATAAAAATAGCTTCAAAATAGTACTTAGTATGTCTTTATGTTGATAAAAATATAATCTTTTGTAAGTTTACATTGAAACAAAACACATTTCTCTCCTACAAATTTCAACCCAAAAAAGTCACAAATTTTGTCCTCGGTAAAAACAAATTTGAAAGATATAATATGTGCTATGTTTATATTTTTATCAACATAAAGATATTCTAAGACTATCAGTACTATTTTGAGGCTACTATTCTTATTATTCATAAGAATAATAGGTAAAGTTAAAAAAAACATTTAATATGTTCTCAATAAATTGTCCAATCAGAAAGAGTAGAGGTTTTTTGAACTATTATTATTATTATTATTATTTTGTAGGTGTTGACGTGTATTTTGCGAACAGTGAAGAAATATTTGTGACTGATGTGAATGTAACGAATGGAATTCATCTTGTACATCTTGATAATAAACTGATAGTTGATGCTTCGGAAGCTTTATTTGGTCATTCAGATTTATTACGTAGAAATAAACGAAGTGTGTTTGAAGATTCTAATCATGGAAAACGTGCTGCAGTTAACTCCCCTGTGACGGGGCCGTTTTCGTTACAGGAGGTCAAGGCCAACGATCTCAATACTTTTATTACAATTAAAAAACATATGACAATATTAGTGGTTCGCGATGTTCAATTTCGCTTAGTCATTACTCTACCTAGCGACGTTCATAAACTCGGTACCTCGCGATTTTTTATCGTTCTCTCTAGTAAAGGAGATAAGAAACATAACGTGACGTATGGAAGTTTGTATTTCCGTCAAGATCAACCCCATATTGATCTTTTCGTTTTCTTTTCTGTCTTCTTCTCGTGTTTTTTCCTATTTTTAGCAATGTGTGTTATGTTATGGAAAATGAAACAAGCGTTTGATACGAGGAGAAATCGTCAATTACGAGCCCAGGAGATGGAATGTATGGCTTCCAGACCGTTTGCCAAAGTATTAGTTTTAATAAAACATGACTATTCTATACCTACCCCTGTTTCATTCTCGTTACGTAAAAATCGACCGTTGAAACTAGTCCCTAAAAACATGCATTGTCCGAACCCCAGTCCTATTCATCTTCCACCTATTAATATCAAAGAACCACAACTCTGTACAGCACCGATAGCAGTGGAACCTACAGACGATGGTATTGCAGCTGTTGGTACTATTTTAATTCAGTTACCAGGTGATATTCATGCACCAACTAAATTATGTCTGGGTTCGGCGTTGACGATGAGACTCAGTCCTCCAGTTCAGGCTACGAAAGGAAACACAAGAGCCCGGCCCAGTGCTACTACTTGTTGATTCTCTCTTCGTGAGATTTATAACTGTTTGATTCAAGCTGAGATGTATCTGGATCAAAACTGAGCGTTGTCAAATATACTTGATACCTGATATCCGACTTCACCGGATTAAGTCTGTTGCAATCAAACTTCAATATTTGAACAGAGTAAACCTAAACTTTGTGAATAGTGATGTCAAATAAACAGGTCTAGGATTTGAAAATGTTTAGTTTAAGAAGAAGATGTGAAAAATTTGTGACTGCATTTCCGGTTAGACAGACAATTGTAATGAATTGAAAGTAAAAATAATTTTTGTCTTGATGCTAAAATAATGCTGCGATATCAAGAAGTCAATTGAATAAGTTATAAACTTAACCAAATAATATTTTTGAATGTAAAATGACTCTGGTGAATTTCTCAATGTTTATACATGATTTTTCTTGTTATTTTAACCAGAATTATATTATTATAACATGGAGAGAAGTGAATAAAACGGCAAAACGCAACACGATATCAGCAAGTAATTTAAAAGTTAAATTGGATTTTGTGTCTGTATATATTTGTGATGATATCTATAAACTGAGTGAATGGTGTCAAGGATTTCAATATACATCTGAAATTATAATTCAATAGTTGATACCTTTAAGTGAATTCAACTGACAGATCAACTGTGTATTTTTCAAGAAATTTAACAAACAAATAGAATATAAGATGAGAAATTATTGTGAGTTATATGGAAGTGAATTAAATCTAAAGTTGAAGGTAGTGTAGTGAATTCAACCAACAAACCGTCAGAATGTTGAATTCCTATATCGTTCTCAGTTAATAACTTTAACACGTGAATATAAACTGAGAGACAGGTGAAATTGATTTAACGTTAATGTGACTAATTGGAGTTATCTACCCTATTTTGTGATGTTTTTCTACCATTTTGATATTTTTGTTAAGAAATGAGGTTTGGTGAGATTTGTGTTCAGAATTCTGTTACTATGGTTACAAAGTTTATTTAAAGTTTTATCTATTAATACACATTTTATGTTTTCGTCCCTTTTGTGTTTTTGACGTTGAGATGCTGACCTTGAAAAGATTTTGACCTTGTAATATGTAACCTGCGTAGTTGTGAATTTAGGCTGTGTTTAACCTTCAGTGTTGTTGTGACCTTCAAAGACTGACCTTGATGTGTGTTGTGACCTCCTGGATGTGACCTTGAAGGTGAACGTCTCTTGATATTTAGGATAATTAGAGCTAGAGGGAAGAATGAAATATTACAGCGACTATAATCATTTTCCTAATTTTTCATTAAATAAAGTTATACAAAGTATGATGTAATATCTTTATAATTATCTTTCTGTTTCATTCTACCCTAGAGAGGTTGTATTCTCAAAAACTGAACTCTCTTCTCATTAGTCAATCATTTTAAATCTAGTTTAAATTGTCTTTTATTATCCAATCAGTTGTCTGAAGATCAGTTAGCGTGTAACTCTGAGTAAAATGTTTCAGGTGTTTTATTTCTATTTTCTGAAATTAGTTATTAAGATTACAGGTCCCTAGTTCAGTTTTTACTAGTATTAATTGTAAATTATTAACTTTGATTAAATTCTAGAATGATATCAGCTTTAGTAAACAATGTATTTTATATCAATGTTTGTATGTGAGGTAGGGAGAAAGTTGTATAATGTATGAAAGTTTTTTGTGTTTTTAGTCAAAGTCAGAAAAGCCAAAAAATTTCTTGTATCAATTTCAAAGTAGAATTTATTGTGTATCATTAATTTAACACCCCCTTCATCTCATTATGAACTATTCTACACATGCTTATCTTCATACCTTTTACTAGTATTACTTGTATTTAGAATAGTCCATTTACAATAATAGGCGAGTTTATTTTATAATTATGATTATGTGTAATTTTCAATCTTATAGTTTTAAAAGATAGTTAGAAATATTAGATCTATAATAAAATATAAGTGTTCTATTAACTGAAACTGTAATCATGCAGGATGGAAGGGGAAGAAAGAAAGATAGAAAGAAAGAAAAAAACAATATTAGCTATGTGAACTCTCTGAAATTGATATAAAGATGAAAAACCCTACCACCAAATAAACATGTGGTCTCTCTAGCAAAATAGAAGTTATAATTGTGACTAGAAAATTCCTTTTCAAAATCTTTCAATATTTGTAGTTTAATGTCTGTTCACACTGCTTGGTGATATTTTGTGTTCAGATTGTGACGTGTTCATTTTACTTTTAATTATATAAATTTTATATTTTTAATCAGTATACAATATAATATAAACTTCAAGAATATTTATAATAAATTTATGACAGTAGAGCTGTTTATTTTATCTATGTTTTAGGTTTTGAAAACTCTGTTATAGCCTGACTAATCTAGCTCTACCCTTTCCATGGATGCTATATACAGATGGGATATCAGATTTATAATGTCACTTTTTATTAGAGATCCTCCAATCCACTTTTGGATGGCTAGTTTTTGAGAATTTTCATCCTAAACATGCCGATATCCCACCTGTATCATACGTCTATGTTATGGGTAGGGCCAAATGAACCAAAATATGTGACAAAGTGTAAATTACATGATATTTGTATGTTTGTTTATTGTATGAACAGTAGTTTTTATCTGTTTATATTATTAGATATAGAGCTTGTAGTTACATCAGGTTATTATCAGACTTACTTTCTCTCTGTTGATTCTGAGATCTTGATAAGATTTTAAATTTTAGTGAAATATTGGTAAAGTTTGACAGTGGATCTATCAACTTTATCTGTATTAGTTGTTATGAGTTGTAGTAATATATTGAGCTCTGATCAAATTTCTTTCTTTTCATTTGTCAAAGTAACAGATTGTAAAGAAGTTTTCCAAACTGTTTATGTTTATCAGAGACACTGATAGCATCAATTTATATCATTCTAATTTTACATCAGACGTCTGTGTTATTGAAATTCCACTAAAAGTAAGCGTTTTATGGCTTCACTAGAGAAAAAGTTTCAATTGATATATTAGGAACTTTGTGATAACCCATAGCTTATGTGGAATTAGAATGATGTAAATTGATGCTATCTGTGTATCTGATACACATAAAAAATGTATAAAACCTCTCTTTATAATCTTGAAATGATAATTTGTTATAAAAAATGAGTTGTTGTGAGAGTAGACAATAAGAAAGAGTGTGTATTATACTCACCATTATACAGTATATGATCAATATAGTAGAATTATAATTATACAAGCAATCTTTTTACAATATATTAGATTTACTTCATACAAACAATTTGACTCATAAATTATAAAATAGGAAGAAAATTATTAGGGAAAAATTCTAACCAATCAGGTATAAATTGTTTTTGAGAATCCTTCATATTTTATAATTTATGCATCAATTCCTTGTAACTTGTTATTCAGCAAGCTAGAGTTTATAAAACTCTTGATATTAATGTTGTCTGTGTTTGTGTATTCGGAGCTTTTATTCATCCGATCATCAGGTCTTCATTCATTCATCACTGATATTTAATCTTTCATTTGCTCATTCATTTATTAATAAAATATGTATAGTCTGCACATTTTCATTTTCTTTCTCTTCAATTTTAAACCATGTTTATAGCCAGACAAGTTTAGCCCTCCATGTTCCTCAGATCTAAGATACGGATGTGATATCGACCAGACTTTGCCCTGATCCAATTTTCTTATAGATAGGCTACTTGTTGAAGTAGGGACAACAGGCATTGGGTTGTATTAGTATGTTTGAAGATCTCACAGATTGAAATATAGCACAGACTGAAACTCAGAGTAACAACACAATTCAGGTTCAGTTTAAATATTTTATCTTTAAAAACACCAACAAAACTCTAGAGCACAGTTGATTGGATGATAACATTAATTTATAATTCATTATTATCAACAACACATTAAATAGTATTAAATTTATTTATCTGCTACCACCAGTACCAATAAACTATTTACACCAAACTAAAGCAAATAAATTATATTAGCTATGGACTCTAGAAAAATAGATGACAAACCATTTGCAATGTGGCATCAGGTGTTCTGGGAAAGTAAGTATGGTCTGTCTAAACATCGACCAAAAAACTTTATATATTGGAGTGTAGCATGACAAGAACTATATACTGTTTTCTGGATTTCAGCTTCACAAAACATCTCTTTTACCACAAAAATAATGACTTTATTTCATATTATATAGATAATCACTTACTGTACCTAGTTTATATTCAATAAAACACAATTCAAGATCGTTTCCTACGAGTTTTTGTTTTCTTTCGTTTATCTGTACTCAGTGATTTTGATTGAAGACGGCCGACGTTTGTTCGTTTTTTATTATTAACGTGATCTTCAACTAAACTATGTAATAATCCTTGTTCAGCTAACATAGATAAAAACAGTGTTATAAATTCATCATAATTATGAGTTCTTCGACAATCATCAATTTTATATTTTCGACGTTTTTCATTTTCTTCTTTCAGATTATTTTCACACACACTAATTTCTCTTTCTACATTTTTTAACAAAGAAACTAAATCTTTAGGCGTGAAACCACTATGACTTGATTTATGTTTGAGTTTTACAGGAGATTTTGATTCTGTTGTGTCCATCTTTTCTTCTGTTTGAGATAAATCAGTGGTTACAGTTTCACCGCCAGTAGAAATGACATCAGCTTGCGGACTACACTGACACGAAGGAATATGGAAACTTCCTGGAGAACTGAATCCACTTCCTGCTTCAGAGGCAGTGTCTGTACTTTCTGATCCTGGTCCAGATAGACAGGAAAATTTGGTTTCAATGGTGAGTGGTTTCGTAACATCTGTTAATGAAACTGTTCGTGGTATAGTGTTAGTAATATTCCCATCTTTTTCATCAGAAACAGAAATTTGAATTTTCACTTTTTCTTTAACAGGAGATTGAGAAGTTGGGTCGTATGTTTTAACGGCTTCCGATGTGATTTCAGAATCAGTAGGACTTGATTCACCTGGTGGTACTTCACCTTCAACAGTTGTAACACTTGTACTTGTACTAGGTTCTGTTTTAATTTTAACTGGAGATGATTCCGTACTAGACACGTCTTTATAATTCGATTCATCTTTCTGAGTCTGGCTCACTTTTACCATTTGTTCTAAAGTTTCAAATACAATTCGTCTGTTGGTCTTCAAAGTTTTCAATTTGTTTTCATAAACGAGGCGTTTTTCTGGAACCACAGCCATAAGATTGAAACGAATGTCGTTATTTGGTTCCCCTCCTGTAGCCATTCCCAGTCGGTCTGTTATCACTCTTCGGAACTTCTCCGTCCATGCTTCATCCTTCTCCCATGGTCCATGATCAATAGGATACGGCTTCAAACCATCCAGTTCAAATAACCGTCCATTTATAGGTACGTAACTTACAAAATGAAAAGCCTCTCCAGTTTTGACAGTTGATAGACCTGCCTGTTTCTCAGGAAGATGTTTTGGTTCTGGTCTAGCATGACTGTTGTGAGCTCGGGCTAAAGCTGGAATATTTCCGATAGCTAGGCCTTTATCTTCTGGGTTCATCTTATGAGAGAATTCTTTCAAAGCATTTAGGTTTTCTCCCAGTGACACCTTATTACTGTTCAATAAAACACTCAGTAAGGCGTGAGTGGCACAAGAATTAGGAATAATTTGTTGAGCAAAGAAAATACTGTTGACAATTTCTTCTTCTTTCACAAATGAATCGACTTCTGTGCTGGTTTTTCGTCTTGATCGGCGTTCTTCGATCCATCTGAACAAGAAGATGAAACCATAAACTGGGCCCTCGATGCTCTTTTGTAGGTCGTAAATTTCTTCTACTTGCACTCCATTCACCCCGAAATCTTCTAGAAGCAGAGTGAATAGACCCGGATCACTTTCTAACTCCAGCCATCCTTTATTGATGTTCATATCCACGAAAGCCATTGAAATTTGTGAGTATAGACAATTTTTTTTTTATATTTTTATTTTGATTCTGTGGCAGCCATTACCGGAAATACTATACCAGATCGTCCAGTCTTTATTTCAAATCTTGATCAACCAGGCGTTTATTTCCTTGGAGTTTTCTCCCTTTTGTCATTTCATTAAAAAAATTACATTTGGCTCATCCGAAAGCAACTAGACTCAAACTTAGGCTTTTCCCTTCTCAAAAAAATAAAAATATATTCAGTGATCTGAATCTTCGTGCAACCAACGTTCTTCAATATCATACTACGCTTCTAAAAAAAAAAAAAAGAATTGTAAAAAGACCTTCAGCTACACAGTTTTGAGGCCTTCAGAAGAAATGTAAACTCATTCTATAAGGTTGAATTGTGTCAATGGTGAAGGTGGAACTTGTTAGATAGTTTTTAGTTGATAAGGAAAAGACAAGTTGGCCATTAGAAAATAAAAGTTTTTAGTTGATAAGGAAAAGACAAGTCGGCCATTAGAAAATAAAAGTTTAAAATGAAGATTTATTGGTTGAGATAAAAACTGACTCAATGAAAATTTAAACTGAAGCCGAGTTGAGTTTAATCTGGAGCATGCGCAGTGTATTATTGATGTGAAATGAAAGAAGGCTGAAGTCTGCTTCACGTTCAGTCAAATAGTTTAAATTATTCTACTTATCACGTTTATTTCTTGATTGGATTAACTACCATTAATTGGATTAATTAATTTGATTAGATATTTAAAATTCTCGGTAGTTGCGTGAACGAGGGGCTGTCATTTTTTCATTCAGTTTGCTGTGGCAAGAAAACATGGAAGTGAAGATTTTCGGCATCTTGAAGTTTTGTTGACAAATTGATGTTTATAAGTGAAAGTTTATCGAGGTTTATATTTTGTGTTTGTGGGTGTTTTAAATTGAAATTATTCTAAATGAATCCATGTTATGACATGTGCCTGCGGACGCTTCGAGTCGTCACGTTACGAAACGCCACTACCATTTTACTGATCATTTGTCTTGCTGCTGTGTTTGGATGTTTACATTTAATTTCGGAGGTGACGAGACTGGATGATGCTAGAGTTAAACTCGGTAAGACATTTTTCTATTCCTCAAATTCAAACACTATACTTATTATATATCAAAATATTGCTGACTCTTGTCCCACCAAACTGTCCAAAATTTCAGGAACTACAGTCAAGCTGAACCATCTAACTAACTGTTAAATTGAATGATCTGAGAATCGGAGGTCGTAGGCTTGAAATAAGCTCTGATGAAGAAAGGTTTTTGTAGACCTATGCTATGGCAAGGGTCAGAAAAATTTCCTCTAAAACAATTGTCAAATGAGTGAAGTGAATTCAAAACACTGAGCTACCTGAGTTTATTAGAAAATTATAAAACATATCAGTGCCGTATTAATTCTTGAGCTTCAGTTCATATTATAAATGGAGTATCAAGCCTTCTGTTACAGTTTATAAGCTTATAGTATCTGTTTTTCTAGTTACAAAAATATCTTAGTCCATAAAGATAATACTTCTCTGAGGACAGGACAGTTACCCTCTCTGAAAGAATAAACTTTTCAAAATAATTTGTTAAATTCAAACATGACAGAGGTAATCTTATTCAATATTGAAGAAAATAAATACACCGTAAATAAAAGATAAAAAAAATCATGGACCCTAGTTTCAGAAATGTTTTTTTTTTGAATTAAGCTTATTTTGTAAGAAAAGCTAGTTAGTAGTGAGTTAATTCTGTACCAGTACTCACACGGTTACTGAACAGTAATTAGTGACTTTTACATTTTTAAAATCATTCATATTACAGTGATGAATCTTATTCAATCCATGTTGATTTAACAAATACTGTTCACTCTTCAAAATACCTTGATTACTAGAACTAATAATGGTCACCTACTATTAGTAGATAGGGTCTAGAGGATGGTTAAAACAGTAAATGACAGGAGATAAATAAACACAGTCTAACAGATTTATTTCTTGGTTTGGAAATACTGTTCACTGTTCAAATACCCTGATTACTACTATTGGTAGATATATGTTCACTGTTCTAGGACTTACAATACATGGTTAATATTAGTAGATAGGGTCTAGAGGATAGCTGCTAGTTAGAATAGTAGTTACACACAGCCTAAAAGATTTATTTTTCTTGGTTAAGAAAGTGTTCACTGATTGTTCATATGATTAGTAGTTAGCCCTAGATACATTATTACATAGAATGATCATTTATTATTGGTAGATAGGGCCTAGAGGATAGTGGCTAGTTTGAACAGTAGTTACAGACAGGAGATAAATAAACACAGTCTAAAAGATTTATTTGATGATTATAGAGTATGACTCAATTAATGTAAGATAATACTCTTAATTCTATTATCAATAATCACCAGTTCTCTCTCAGTTTCTAGTTCACCAGACTACTGTATTGTAAGTTAGTGATATTGTTAAACTGATAGACCTTGTACTAACCTTGTTTTATTATTGAATATAACTTGGTACCATTATCATACTGTTAGTAATTAATATACTTATATTGTGTTGTTATATCATTAGAGTTTATATTCTGATTATCATCTAATAAATATTGTATTTTTGGCTCATCTTAAATACATGATATTGAAAATGGCGCTTGAAATTTGAGTTCTGCTACACAGTTATATTTATTTCTAAAATGCCATATCTAATGTGACCCAGTAATGCAGTCAGGTATTTAATGTATTGTATCTAAAGAAGAAGCTGTAATTTCAGGCCACTTGTACTGTACATGATACTTCTCTAACTTTATATTTATCTACCTGTACTCTGTGCCTGTTCAAGTTTTTTTCAACAAGAATGAGCTGAATTGATAAAATAACAGAGTCATAACTAAGATGTTTTATTGAAGGCTGAGTGGACATGGTCCATTTGTCCAGTAACAATTAGTAATGTCTACTGGCCACTGTTTGTTTTAATCAATGAGTGATGTAAGTAAGGTATGATTATCTTAGCCTTTCCATCTCTCTGTTTAAAGGGACAGGTGCTCTCCTTATTTTTTACCAATCACACTTTTAGTCTTTGAAATGAGAATTTTTTGGAAGTATTTTGAAGGAATTTTGCGATATTCGTTCATTTCTAGTAATTCTGAAGACTATTTATATTCAAGACTCAAATCAACCCCCCAAAATAGCACACCTGTCCCATTAAAGGGGCAATATGTAACATTTTCATTATTAAAAACAATAAATTATAGTGGAAATATTTCTATGTTCATTAATACTATCTAGTTAAAGTGAGTAGTATTAGTTGATATTAGTACAGTCTTTAGACAACACTATTATAATTAAATAAACTAGTAAGGTTTACAGTTTGAATTGGTACCAGTAATAGTAGTAATAGTAGTAATATACTGGTAGATATAAGAAACTTGACTAAGTATCTGAGTAGAACTACAAGTGAGTAGAAAACAGGTCAATGTGTAATAAAGAATATACTGATAGAGTAAGACTGTTTTATATCAACCTCTAGATATCTTTATTCTTTATCTACTTTCATATCAATATAGATAATCCTAACTCTGTCTTTTTTATTTTTAATAATTGAGACTGACCAAGTTATTCAAGATATTCTGAAATCATCTTTCCTAAAAAATAATATAAAGAGGCAACAATTATAAATATTAATCCTTTTCATAGAAAAATGATAGTTCACAATAGAATATCAGACAATTCTTCTGATTGGTCAATCTTTTATGATCTCACAAAGAATCCAATCAAATTCTAGTGACAAGTTAGTCCATGGCAAAGTTCATGTAGCATACAGTGGAATTTAAACTAAGTTCATTATTGAATTTATTATTTATAGTTAATTATATAAAAGATGTGATATTTAACTATATATATAATCTAGATAGGTATCCGTCACTATGAGCTGATTAAAATAGTTAAAATCTGATAATTCTATGATGAAGAAAAAGAGTTTGTTAGTTGTAATGTTATAAAGGTGAGAGGTCAGTCAGTCAGTCAGATAGATAGCCTGTGGTTAGAATCTTGGCAATGAGCCCAATTTGTATCTTAATAAATTTAATAGACAGACTGGGGAGGGTTACCTATTACAACATAGATATTACAATAGACTACAGAGTAAAACACAGTATCTAGAAAAATTCTAAAATGGGAGGAGGGGCCAAAATGATTGGTGTTTCTCTGAGGCGAGGCTCAAAGGGCTGAAACACATTGAGGCGGGGAGTATTGGGGATGCCAGAAGTCAGATTTCAGATATCCTGAGATGAATTTTAGGCATTTAGAGGGGTTAATTTTTACTTCAAATTAAAACCTTTCACAGGCCTGATGGAGAGACTGAGGTCCAAAAATGATCTTGATTCAGCTATTGAAGATAGTCCATACACAGTATATTTAGTGCTTTTTGTTTCCTTGACAACTTGACAACTCCAATGTCTGATTTAATCATGTTAAGGTAAAGTATATAAATAAACTTGACCTAAGCTGATAGCTAGTGAGTATCAACTCAGTTTAAGATATCTGTTGTGTGAACCAGGCTTAAGTCAGTATGATTAACTCAGTTTAAAATGTCTGTTGTGTGAACCAGGCTTAAGTCAGTATGATCTACTCAGTTTAAAATGTCTGGTGTGTGAACCAGACTTAAGTCAGTATGATTAACTCAGTTTAAAATGTCAACAGTATTGTTTTTTTTGAATGTCACAATATTAAAAAATACTTGACATTTTGAATTGGTTGACTTATTTACAGTTGAGTATTATAAAATATGTCTCTTGTTATTAACCCAGGGGCTGATAGTGATGACACGTGTATAAGAACTTTGTACAGGGGCTGATAGTGATGCTATTGATATTCAAGGACCAAGTCATGAATTGTCGAATTTGAGTGGAATTGCAAGAATGGTGCAAATTGATGCTATAAGTGGCCTTGACACACACAAAAATGTAGAAAAAAAACCCTTTTTACAATCCCTTTAATGAATGG